TAGAAAACAATATTTCAATGATAGTAATGATAATAATAATTTTTTCACCTATATTTATGAAGCACTCTTTGCTTTGGTTTTTATTTGCAGCCAGAATATATTGGTGGGCTTGGACTTTCTGACTATAAATAGAAGGACAGTGTGAGACAAAGACAAATTAAACTAAGTTCGTGCTGATGTCTCCTTGGCTAGGAAAATAAATTCTGCCTTGTTTTTAAATTAAGCTTCCAAGCAGTCCTGTGCACAATCAGTCAAGAGTAAGTCCCATTCTACTGAATGGAACTTCTTCCTAAGCAAATGTGCATAGGCTTGCAAATGCAAATTTAATGTTCTCCCTTGACTGTATATATATATTAAAAAAAAGAGCTGGAGATGATACCCTGGGGGAAACCATTTTGTAATTGATTCCTAGTTCAGTAGTTAATTCATACAGTCCTTTGGAATTATTGGGATCTCTGGAATTAACTTTGGTTAGTCCAAAAACCAACAGAAAGCTTGTGACACTTTAAAAGCTTAGTAGACCAGCTTTTATGGATCACAAGCCACTTCATCAGAAGCCTGTAAAGACAAGAATTGTTCATAAAGGTGAATGTCGTCATTAATTTGTTATCATTGTTATTTTTTTTATAAGATGCATCACTTAACTGGCTATTATTACAGTAGGACTTTAGAACAACAGCAACAACAAAAACAGATTTCCATGCCTGAATTGAACAAAAGAAACAGCTAACCTAATACCTCGCCATTAATGAAGATGAGCAGAAGGTGTAAAATTCATGTTTTAGAATTTATGAATGGGTTCTATTCTGTATATTATATAATGAGACACAACAACACATTTTTTTCCTTTTAAAAATGTTTCCCCGCTGGTGAAGCTCCTTCCAACAAAATTAGACTTTTAGACTGGTGATTTGTCGCTTTTTGTTTAGCTCCGGTACGTAAAGGAATTGCTCGATCCTTGGGAGAGAGAGGAACTGGGAGACAGCCAGAGCTAAAAAGGATCGCTAGGCTCCTAGTCCCCCGCTTGTTCTGAGGTTCAGCAAGACATTGGTTACAATTCCACTCCGTGAAGTACTCTTAGTTTGAAAAGATATTAAGCCACACCTTTCTGATTTTTTTGGTTGTTCTTGTGAGCTGCCGAGGATTATTATGCATAAGATAGGTGACAATATAACTTCTATGAATAAATAAATATATAAAACAAATTCAGAGCATATCTACTCTAGGTTCAATCGGATGCATTTTTAGGAAAATTTGCAAAAGCCTACATTCCCATACTCCCTTATCTGGACAAGTTGTGCCCTTTCCTCCTGAAATAATTTCTAACGGAATGAGTATAGAATTTAAGAGTTTAACTTAGTGCACATTCAAACATTCCATTTCAAAATGGAAGAAATTTTCCTTATTGTCATAGTGTTTGCAGATTAATGTAGATATACCCTCATACCTTTTTAAAGCTATGAATGTTAATTCATGCTATCATCATCATCATCATCATCATCATCATCATCATCATCATCATCATCATCATCATCATCCCTCCTAGGTGTGTTCTACTCCTTTATTGCAAGGTGGGTTTGCTTTCGAACAAGATGTGCACTAGGAGAAGAGATTTGAAATGTTCACTTCCATGTAGTAAAAATGGGTGCTGGATAAGGTGAATCTAAATGCTTTATTATATTACAATTATTTAATTGTTACAATAATGTAACCTTTGTAACTGAGGAGTTATAATGGGTACTCATAAAACAAGCTGGACTCCCTCCTTGAACCTCGTACAGAGAGGTGACTCTCAAAGTGCAAAGCCCATGAATTATCCAAGGAGATACCTCTTTCTAGTAAATAGGCTCATTGGAAGTTTGCAAAAATCTTCCGTTCACATTTCTGCTCATTGTCTAAAAAGCATCTGTAAATCAGAAAGGTGTTTAGTTGTTTAAAACACGTCACATGTGCATTTTTAAAATACACTGATACCAGTATTCAAATAATGTACAGAACATACACATACATAATACACACACAGACATGAATGTACATTTCAAAGATTGACTCTTGTCCCACTGAAATCAACTTGGGCTGGATCAAACTCAGAGTTCCTAAACCAACTGTTTGTTGGTTGTAATGTATACAGTATTGTGCAGAACTTTATAATCAAAGTTCATGTGGCTGCTAATGGCAGCTTCCTAATGGGTGACCTATTTCAAGGACGCTTTAGGGATCTCTTAGGATCTGCAGCATCTGTCCTAGATTATCCAATCTGGGCATCATGCAGAGGTTACAGTCGCTTTGTTTGCTGCTGTTGTCTGATTTACTTACACATCTATACAACCTGCGAGTCCGTGAAGAAATGTTGCTTAAAAAGATCATTGCTCAGCTATTCCCCAGATGGGCAGGGACATTGGCTCTGCAGGTTGGGCATTCCAGGCTTTTTAGCCCCAACACAACTTGGGGGATTAGGTCGGGGAGGGCTGGTCATGTGGTGTCAAGATTCCTAACAGCACTTAGCAAATTCAACCCCAACATCACTTTAACTTTCTAATGGAGTAATCCAATCCGCGTTTGCTCTTTTAAAGAAAGGATTTAGGATCGCAGCCTTTGAAAATCTGCTGACGGCAATGTGTGTGTGGCAGAAGGAATATTTCCCCCGACATCTCTATGTACTAAAAATAATCTCGATGAAAATAAACATTTCTCTGGGCACCCGGTGAATTTCGTCTACGGTGTTAGGTCTCCCGCTGCATTTTTTGCGGACAAAGGTCCAGAGAGGGGGAAATCTTCCCCTTCCACTTTCCAGAAGAATCGTGACATTAAATCAAAATGCCGCTGCTGACAGATGAAAGGCAGAAAGAGGCGGCGAACCGGGTCTTTCGGAGGGGCGGTAGAAGAGCTACTGGCTAGGGGGCAGGAGCGGTGCGTTAACGAGGGAGAAGTCTTCTACCGCTCCTATTTGCACGTTGGGTGCAATAGGACGTGTTTCTCACATGTTCTTTTTCTAATTAACCACACACGCGCGCACACGGCTTTCGCTGGGCTTGGCTTAGCAAAGTCTCACCCCCTCCTTCCCTTGAGTCACACCAAGCACGCCATCCCAACTGCCGTCTGAGTGACAGCTAGCTTGCGCGCCTGTTCCTGTTGCCGCTTTAAAAAATCGAATCCAAGGGTAATGATTTATCAAACTCCTATTATCAAAAAAATGTCATAGGAAGGGCACCTTGCTATGCACTGACGCAAACCCAGTCTTTCTCACGGAGCTATAGAAAGCTTTGCTCTTAACGGAGCAAAATTCACTCTACCATCTCGTCCCAGCTGCAGTCTTTACCTCTACAAGATTTTGTCCGATGCTATTGTAAATATGGTAAGTGGGCTTTATTTTTCATGCTTTTTCTTTTTGGAGCCTCGGGTTGGGATAAAAAGGTATTTTACTAGTAATCTTGCCGACGGTTCTGCATCGTTGCAGGTTAGTAGTTAGAAATTAAGGTTTGGGAGAAATGTACCGGTCGGGAGTAAGCGTGTATCGCAATGAACACTGTCCAGGGTCCTGAAAGTCCACATTCCACTAAAGATGTTCTTGATTACTGTAGGTACAACGTTTGGTATCTGCTACTTTCTGGACCTGCATTTGCTGACTGTGTGAGTTTCTTTGGAGGGAGGGGTTGATTAAAAAGTGTGAAGAAAATGTGTTCCTCCTTTACATTTCCTTTTCAGAAGAAAAAAACATTCGCTACAACAAAAATGTTTCTGCAGGAAATGTACAGCTGCAATGTTGTATGAGTGGACTAGAATGCAAATATGAAGGTGTAGAAAATTAAAGCACAGATTGGAGAATGTGGCCAAATTTCATAACTCTACGTCTGCAATACTATTCTTACCTAGGAGTAAACTCCATTGAAATTAACAGAGCTGTTTCTGAATAGTCCTGTATTGAATGAACTGTTAGACTGAGATTCTCGGAATACCTACTGAGAAGTAAATCCCCTTAAATTACAAACAGTCTATTTGGAGTAACTGGGATGTGAGAAAATATAATTCAGCATTTTTATGTTTCTTGCGCTCCTCCCCCATCGGTAGAAATATCTGGGAGGGGGGATCATGTTTGGGAATATTTAGAAACCAGTATTATTGAGTTCCTCTATATCTCGCTAGCTGCATATAGGGTAGTTTGGCTTCATCTCCCCCCTTTCCCAGCTCAAAGCCAGTATGCACTGCTGAATGACAGAAAGGAAATGGGGCGTAAAATTAAAGATATTTTTTCTACAACGGTGCAAAGAGAGGGGAGCATCTTTCAGTCGTGACGAGAAAATCAAGAAGGTTTGCAAGGAGAGAGCTGGGGCGATGCTGTTTCTACGCCGGGAATTTGGGTCTGCAGGGGAAAAGACGATTTTAGGTTAGGGTGCGAAATGGAATCTGCCGCAGCGGCTCCCTGATGCCTTAAGCAGCGCAACCTTCATACAAATTCTTGACGTTCAAGAAACCTTCTTCGAGGAACACAGCCGACGGAGGGCATCCGTTCGTTCTTCTTTCTTACTGTCACTCTGCTCTTGCAGGATTACGCCAATCCAAAGGAGATGAGCGAGCAGCTGGTTCACAGCCCCGAGGTGGTCGCCCCTGGGCCACTCGAGAGGGCAGGGATCCTCAGAAACAGTCCCGAAACCGAGCAGCCGCAGAACTTCCAGTCCCAAGTCCCGTCTCAGCTGGCTAAAGTGGCCACAGCTCTCTCGGGCGACAGCCACCCTTTGCCCTCCGACGAAGGGCAACCCAATGAGACCGAGCGCACCAAAGTTGGGATCGGCAAAGTCGCCCCGGCACAAGGCAACCCCCCAGCCGGCAAAGACTCCCTCGATCTTTGCCCGCTCAAGAATGTCCCCAGCGCAGGGAACGCTGCACCAGCCAACATTGCCCCCTGCAAAATCCCCCCCTTGCAAAGCACCGATGGGGCGGCTAATCAAAGTCTTGGTAAGAGCCTGCTGGAGCCAAACAATACCAAGGCCGGCTGGGTGAACATGAGTCAGAGCACCGTGGTGTTGGGCACAGATGGAATTGCATCTGTTCTGCCTGGCAGCGTCACCGAGGTGAGTGGTTCCCCCCCGCGCCCCCTGGCACGCTGCTCGGTCTCTTTCAGGGTGCAGGCAAGGGCTCCCTACCCAAGGAGACAGCAACAGAGCCCTGACGTCCCAGCATCCCCGAATCATTGAAACCAGCCTGCCCTTAACTCTAGAAGCGTTGGGCTACCATCATTCCCAAACAGTCCTGCGGACTGGGACTTAGGGGGTCTGTTGTCCAACATTTTCCAATTCGGTTTAAAACAATCCAAAACTGAGATTGGCAAGGGGCCATCCTGATAAAGAAAATCAAGGCTAGATTCCTGCGTGCCCCTTTCAACTCAGGAAGGGAAAAGGCAGCAGGCGCTGCTGTTTAACAAAGAGAAGGTAAAATCACGGCCATTCTCTTCATAGCCCGCTTTTCCTCAGGTGGTGTGCTTTATTCTCATAATAGCCACAAACTAGATTGAGAGGAGATGATTGGCCCAAAGTCACCCTGTAGGCTTCAAGGTTAAGGGGTGACTTGAACCTGGCTTTCCCGAGCCCGACAGCTCTGGCTTCACAAGGCGCGCTAAGCTATCAGGTGAGTTGCTCGAGTTGGCTTAAAAGTGCCAGCCCAGCAATGTGAACGATGGATTATAGCGTAGTGCCTCCGGGAAGACCAACTCCAAGAAGCTTTTGCCCGCTGCCTTCCGTGTTCCAGGATCGCGCTGCTTTTTACGGAAGGCTGCCGGTAAAACCAAGCGAGAGTGGGGCCGGGCAGGTCACCCTTTGGGATTCCGCCTGTCTGTCCGCCTGATCGGGGCACAATCGAAAAAACTACCCAACCAAAGAGCCTACGGGACCGACCCGTCTCCTGAAGCCCCAGTGGGCCAAGCTGGGCGATCAATCACTTCAGCTCAGACAGTTTAATCGTTACTCGGAGTCAGTCAGCGCGCATGGCTTGGGCACTGCGGCGGGCGGCAAAAATAGCCCCCCCGGGCCGCCACTGCGGAGCACCTGATCCCTTTGCCGAGCACTGCCGCTCGGAAGACCCAGAACGCAGGCGCAGAAGCGCGCCGGACGCGTCCTGCTCAAGCCTTCTCAGGCCGGAACCTCCCCAGTTGGCTGGGAGCGATGGGGGTTGTAGTCCGATCCCTCTGCAGAGCGTCGTATTGAGGAAAGAGAAAGTTTTCATTAACCCCATAGGACTACTTCTGTTCTTTGCAGTTAGCTGGCCGTGAGGATTTTCTCCTTCTGGCCTTCGGAAGCAGGCTAGGCGGAAAGGCATAAGTGTGAAAGGTTGAGGGCCCCTAGTATTTTCCAGGGGGAAAGCCAAACGTCTGGAAGGCAGGGAAGATAGCATTCGTGGAGATTCATAATCCCAAGTGGAGGCCACCGCTGGCCAGACCACGGCTAAGTAGTATTGGTGGGGAAGAGATAAATCAGGATATCGATGAGCGGCAAGATAAAGAAATGTAGGCTCGGAGGGAATTGGATATGCAAAACTTTTCCTCCAGAAGGGATATTTTCTTTCAATAAATATCTGGGGAAGATGGACTGTAGCTTGCTCCTCTGGCTCCCCTTTAACCTTCCAGTGCTTATTGGCTATTTACCCCTCATGATTGACAGAAGGAGAAAATATCTTCCATGGCTGTTTTCTTATTACTGGATCTTAGCAAACGAGGCAGTTTCTCTGCCACTCACATAGTTGTTATCGAATCGGAACATACGCTTTAGTTAATAGAGGTTATAAAGTGATTTAGCCTCTGGGATGAAATTCTGAGATTAAACGCATCATTCTCAAAAAATGGTTCTCCCTTAACCATACTCCCAAGAATCTTAAGAAAGGAGGATTCAATATCCGTGAAGAAATCAGGTTGAAGTATTACCATTCCGTTGAATTAGAGGGATCTCCCTGGGTCACACGATATTTATCAACTGCAGAGAGCCAGCAGGCAAAGTGCCTTGTTTGGAAGTCAATGAACTGAATTCCTGCAGGGTTTTTCCCAATATTGGTGGCAACTTGAACCCCTGCTGCCTTCCAGAAGCAGCCCCAGAAAACTGCCTATGGGCAGTGTGTTCTCCCTGCCCTCCTCATGGTTTAAAGTGTATCTTTTGAGAATGCAATCTGTCCATCTCCTGACCCGCACTCTCTGCAGAATTTACATTTTAGAGTCAAGTTCACTTGAAGTGTATAATAAATATGACTTACTTCACCTTCCCTTGATTCACAAAAACTGGAGGACAAGCCACGGGCCCTGGGCACAGGCTCAAAAACAGAAGCTGAGCAGACACCTTGGGCAGAATTGTGCCAAGAGCCCGCCAACCTGCTTACAGTTTTACATGTCCCATGGAATTCATTAAAAGGACACTTTGGGTCTATTCAGTTCTATGTTTCTATTCTTTTTCAAAGGGAGACTCACATGGGGATGTCAGACCAAGGCTGTGCGAGTTAGTGGGCTTCAATTAGCCTACAGCCAGATACAAAACGTACCCTGAAACATCAGGGTATTGTAATTCCATGTAGAGTGGTGTTTGGCATTCTGCATGAACCTGGCCAGAATCTCAAATGTCTTGAGCATGACCAAACCATGATTTTTTAAAACCCAAGTCTCTTCGATTTTAGCAAAAGGGATTACAGCCAAGGCTAATTCTTCAGAATGCTTGGTTCCACTCCTTTCCAACAGATTTATTTTTGTATCATTGATTCGGCTAGCAGAACACACTAGACTAGATTATGGTTGGTTAGGTCGTTATCCAGTGAGTTGTGTAAAGCTGGACAGTTGGGTTAATTCAGTCCAATTAATCATGGATTAGGGTTAGCCTATTGTGTGAATGCAGGCACAGAGCTGTAAGAGACATTTATTTATATCATTTAATAAGGCAAAGCACACACTGCAGATCTCAGACTGTTGTTTTCTGGTCAATGTATTATTGTAGTTGTTATTATTATTTTCTCCCTGCAGCAGGAGGACGATGAAGGAGATGAAAATAAAGCCCGGGGCAACTGGTCTAGCAAGCTGGACTTCATCCTCTCCATGGTGGGTTATGCAGTAGGGCTGGGCAATGTCTGGAGGTTCCCGTACCTGGCCTTTAAGAATGGGGGAGGTATGGATTTTCCTCTCTTTTTACCTCGTGCAGCTCAGAAAGGGGATAACTCCCGAAGTCAGTTGAACCTAAACTAGTGGGAGGATTGGCTTGAATCCAAACTCATCGGCTCCACTGGTTTTTGGATCGAGCTTGCAGCCAGCAAATTAGCAGGAAAAGTTGGGAGGGGGTGGCAAGGGGAAAAAAAGTGCTGTCCATTTCCTCAATAGGGATTTATAGCGTCATTCAACAGAGGGCCAATATCTCAGCAATAAAGAAGGTTTTGTAGTCCCACAAGGATGGTTGAGTGACGCTATAAAGGTAGGTAAAGGAAAACTCCTGGGGAGGTCATGGTATGTCCCTGTAGCTTTCTTGGCAGCAACAGGGAAGTGGTTTGCCCTTGGTTTCTCCCAGGAAGTTTAAGCAACATCCTGGAGTATCCAACACAGCCTTGGAATTCCCAGGTAGTTTTCCATCCAAGCACTGACAGCCCCAACCATGCTCAGCTTCTATGAACAGCCAAACTCTACTCAGTGCTGCCACCTAGCCAAGCAGGTGGGGCTACAAAACACTCTAAACCACCGGCATAGGGGAAGAGGGAAGAGTCACAAACTTTGTCCTGCTCCCTCTGAGTGCTGCTTTGGAACAACCAAGGCAGCAAATAGACCCATGTCCTTCCATTGTAAATATAACTATAATGTAATAATTGGTTTTAAATTGTAGACACTCAAAGTTAAAATCAGTAGAATACAGATTAGATTCCCTTTGGCATCCTATGGTATAATCAGAATTGCTGAAGAATGGGCAACATCTCCCAAGCAAATCAAAGAGGACAATAATATCCTTGCAGTTTTTTCATACAAAGTGGAGTTTCTAATTCACATCAAACTGGACATGAAATATAAATGTATAATCTTTCTTACTAGGGACATGTGTGAAAGATTCTTTGTAAGTGCAATTCTAATTTGAGTCAGCTGTCCAGAACTATTGGGGACAAATTTCACTCTACAAAGGAGAGACATAGATTCTCAGGACTGCTCACTCCCACCCTTCTTATGTGATAAGCTGATGACGGAGGCTGGTTCTCACTATGACTGAGCAACAAAAAACCTCTTAGGCTTCTTAACCCTTTCCCATTCTGCAGTTTGTCCATTTGGAATTAGAAAATATATTTGCCCTAGTTTCACTCTCCTGCGAAGGGGAAAATACCTAAGTGGAGAATGAATCCAGTGCAAATTCTGCTGAACTCAATGGGTTTAGCAAGTGAGAGGATATGAGTAGAACTGCTCAAGACTATGGGTTAGAATGGATACTTTTAGCTGTGTAAAAATGAAAGGATTACTTATTTACGTAAACATTTTCTATGCTGTCCATTCCTGTTAGAACAAATTATTAAAGCCCAGCAGCATAAAAAATTTCCCTCTGAAAGTATTTTTCCTTCAGAAATGAAAAACACGTAGCAAACAGGGATCATGAAAAATATAGTGTTTATTTAAAATAACTCTTATTCTATATTAGTGCCATAATTCTTGTCACTTTTTAAAATAACATGCAAGGTAATACAGTATCTAAAATCAGAATTGCCTCTGTATTAGAATCTTTCTCCATTCTATGCTGCATTATTTTAACATAGTTTGTTGACATTAATGGTTAGGGCTGTTAGATTGGGGCTCCAAAATTTTAGACAACACTAAATGGCAGCAAAGGGATACAGAAAACTCTTGGTTGTCATCTAGAGCAGTGTTCCTCAACCTTGGCGACTTTAAGACGTATGGACTTCAACTCCCAGAATTCCCCACCACACGTCTTAAAGTCGCCAAGGTTGAGGAACACTGATCTAGAGGTTGCCTAGATTTTTGCAGTCCACATCTGGTAGCCCTACATCAGTGCCAATGCTATTTACACACTAGGCAATGCATCCTGCCATAAAATCAGTTTCCTTTTTATGGATTGAATTATATGCTTTAAATAGTTTTGGGGTATGAACACGGTAGTTTCAGATTTACTTGATAGAAAATAATGCATTTTTCTGCAAAACATTGAGTTGTTTTCCTGTTTTCTATGGAAAAATGTTAATAAAGGCAAACAGGTTATATAGGATAATTAATTTTCAGTGGAAAAAAAGCTGGAAAGTGCAATTTCACACATATTTAGCAGGGAATAAATCCCACTGAACATGTGAGCACACATACAAAGGGTTGCACTGTGGTTATTCTCTTTTTTACTATTTCTAGTTATTCTTAAAAGGTCTCAGGCTGTATTTCTATCATGAACAGAGAAACTGAGAGAGTGAAAATAATCATCCATACGATATGCCTTGGCGTTAAAGCTGAAAGCTTACGTCCAAGTGCTGTAGAATGTGACTCCCGGAACTGACTTCTAATTTAGTGGGGCCGGTCGAAAATCGTAGACTCAAAGCCAGCTGGCGCAGTAGACATCCAGAAGTCAGTTCGTTGTGTTCAGCGGGGACCGACTCCAATATGCAAGGAGTGGGACCCAGACTCAGGGGCTTGCGAGCATAGTTGCGAACTTTGTCTCACCTCGAATTCAAAGCTTAGTCGAGCAGACCTAGGCTGCAAAAACCCGGATGGCCACTAGCAGGCAGACTTTTCGTTGATCTGCTGCCTGGGCTTTGGCGCTGTTCAAAGCAGGAGTCTTATGACAGCCTCGAGACAAATCGCCTGTTTTGGCGCTCGGAAAGTGAGGTCTCTCTCTCTGCCTAACACATCAGGCTAAAGCGGGGTTCGCTGTGTTGACCCAGGCAGCACGGCTGGCTTCTGGCGGAATACATGGAAAGAAGCCGCGTATGGCGGTGAAGCCGATCAACCCCGCTGAGCGCGCTTGTCCGGCTCCTCTCGCCGGAAGCGCCATATCTCAGCAAGCCGGACACGTTTAAAATGAGATTAGGGTGGCGCGGCTTTCGGCCCATTCTGCTTCGCTTTGTTTCGTTCTGCCTAAACTGGTCCCCGGCTTTCCTGCCGTCACACTCCAGGTAGCTCCGAGACGCAGTTGCAGGTGATGATGAGAAAAACGATTGCCCTAATTGAATTAGGCGCGCCACCTGCAGCAAGGCCGGCGGCCATGGTGGCAACGCCGCGTCTTCCTTGTTGAACGCAGGCCGAAACAAATCCATTGAATACCCCGAGAAAAAGGTGGTCTGGGGGAGTGGCCGATTTAAAGAAGGTCGTGTCGAGAAGGGGGTACTTGTGATGGAATGGAATTATGAAGGCCAGGCTCAGGGAGATAAACGTTTTCTTAGCTCCCCAGAACAGTGTGGGAGGAACAAGAGGATGAGACTGGCACCTCCCTGAGGAATTCACAATGTTTTGGCTGGCTGACTTTGGGACCTGGGGTTTTAGTCTGGGAAGATTGATGTCAGGCCTAGCCCAAGGAACTCCAAAATGTTTATCTCCCTGAGCCTGGCCTTCATAATTCCATTCCATCACAGTACTGTTGGGAAGTCACCCTGTAAATTATATGGGGCTCGTTTCTAAGCATATGCGGTGCTCTTTATGAGGCTGGGGTCTTCAGCTGTTTAGCTGGAGGTGATGCCTGTTTTGTGGTACTGGTAAAGATGCCTTGGACTGGGTGTGACACATCCATGTGGTTTTCTTGGCAAGAGAACTGAAATAGTTTGCTGTTGTCTCTCCTGGGATGTTTATTGGTTTAGCAATCTAGCTCAGTGTTTCTCAGTTTTGGCAGCTTGAAGATGTGGACTTTAACTCCACTCGTGTTCAAGTTGCCAAGGTTGAGAAACACTGAGGTAGTGTATGGTCCTGGAATCCCTTGGTGGTCTCCCATCCAAGTACTAAGCAGGTCTGACTGTGCTTTGTTCTGAGTCTAGACACAGTTGACCAGGAGCTGCTGTCAAGCAAACTGCCAGTGCGTCTAGTCATTATTGAAGGTTGTCATTCTTGGCTGCAAATCCAGTAAAATAAATTAATTTTCTTTCAGAATAGAAGTTGTTGTTAGGGTTAGTCTCATGACTGGCTTCCAGAATTCAACCACCTGAAATTACTACAATTCGGCCCTTTTTGTGATTGCAAGTTATATAGGGATCAGAATATATCAGCATATCCACTGTTCCCCTTGATTATATAATTTTGATTTATCTTACTCCAGAACCATCCTGTATTTTACAGTCATATGCTGATTCTTCACATTCCATGAAAATAACCAGTTTTTATTGCTAATCCAATACTAAGCCATGGTGTGTAAACACTTTCCCTCTATCCTTTAGTGGAACCATGATCATATGAGCAACACTGTCTTGATCTGTCATTGGTAGATTCTTTTGGAAAGTATAAGAAAATAAATATAAGCCAGTCCGCATTCTCGAAATAAGGATGCTATGTAGAAGAAATGGACTGGGTTATGTTAATATTCTGCTAAAGAGAGACCCTTTGTATTTCTCAATCTTGATACAAAAATGGATTGGACAGATGGTTGAATCTTACTGATAATGGGGTAATGTTGTTCTCTGTAGATTAATTTTGTAGACCCTTGGGAAGCAGAATGGTGTACACAAATCTGTTCCTTGATACCTTGCCCCATCCTCGGATGCTGAGTCAGCTGCCCCATTTTGCCTAAAAATTAAGTCAGCATGGAGAAAAATAAAATTTATACTGTGGATGAAAAAACATAAACTGTGGTTCATACATTATGCTAATCCATTATGTGCTTTACATGGTGCTGGATTAGCATATTGTGCAAACCTAACCACTATAGTTTGTAAACCTTGTTTTGTTTAGTGATTGGGTTTGTATTAGACACTCAGTTGCAAATTAGCCCACCACCTTTTAGTATAACATGTATGAAACCAACCTGTGTGGTTAATCTTCTGGGATAATACAATATACTGAACTCTCAACCTAATTAATTGAACAAATCATGATCAAATTAACCATGGCTAAGCATATTATTTGAATCCAGTCATTAATGAGATCCAGACTTAATGCTGTTTAAGGTAAACCTATTAAATAGAATGTTGATTATTCACACCCCGCTGAAGTCCCATAGATGTCAGTGGCTCTACTTCCGAAAGAATTATGCCTATTTTCATTTGTTCTGTTTTCCTGATTAATGTATGGTCCATGTTGCCCCACTCCAACCTGGGCAAAAATATAAATTTCTAAGACAGGTTTCCTCAGCATGGCACCCTTTAACTGAGCTGGTGGAGGGCAGTTGGAGTTGTAATTCAACCCAGCTGCAGGGTACCGATTTGGCGAAGTTTGTTTGTTAAAGATGAAATATCTTAACTCCACAAAATTTCATGAGATGAAATATCTTAATTCCATAAAATTGTAAAACAGCAACAGTAAATGAGGGTTGGCTGTTTTCTGTGTCTAAGGCTTCTCCCACTTGATCCTTTTCCCTATTAGGTGCATTTCTTATTCCCTATTTGACAATGTTGGCTCTGGCTGGAATTCCTATCTTTCTCTTGGAAGTTTCTCTGGGACAATTTGCGAGTCAGGGACCCGTGTCTGTTTGGAAAGCCATCCCTGCCTTACAAGGTAAGCTTCTGAAACCGATTACTTATTGTGCTGTTTGGAAATTAGGAAATTATGGATTAACTTCAGCTGAACCAAGAGATAGGAAATGATTTTGTTCTCTGGGTGGCACTGTTAGAGAACAGTGGGTGATGCTCTGCAGTCTTACTTTGACCTTGAATGGACCTTGCATTGACTGATGTGGTAATAATGCAGCACTTCTCCTGCTTTAGTGAACCTTCACTGGATTTCACAGCGGGAGAGGGTTCAATGGCTGCATCATTCTGAGTGAATCAAATATGTGTGATAATGCAGTACAGTGCCTTCTGTACTAAAAAAAAAAAAAATTCATGCAACCATGCTGTGCATTTATTTCTATTTCCCTGGTAGGTGCTATACTGAGGGTAGTTGTCTTAGTGTGCATCGTATTTATATACGGATGATGGAAGATGCACAGCAAGATTCAAAAGCGCATGCTTTGATGTATTAAAAATTAAATTGCAACAAAGCAATGTAGCCAATGTATTTATACTCATTTACTTAACCTGGTAAATCATTACACGTGGATAATGGCAATTTGGTGCAAGCTAGAATCAAGTATTCATTTACTTTGAGCAGAACTCCTTTAAAACTCAGTCAGTCAATTTGGGATTAAAAATAAGTAGAATAGGACTGCATATTGAATTGTTTCCTATAAAAAGGCTGAAAAATAATGTAATCGTTAGGGAAAATGCAGTAGTTGTATAGGAGTAGTTGGTTTCCTCATTATCTTTTGGTCCCAAGAATATAAAAAAAGACAATATCATATCTTATTTTCTTTTTTCAGGTTGTGGCATTGCGATGCTGATTATCTCTGTCTTAATAGCCATATATTATAATATTATATTGTGCTATACACTTTTCTACCTTTTTGCATCCTTTGTACCTGTGTTACCTTGGGCTTCCTGTAATAATCCATGGAACACACATGATTGTAGAGATAAAAACAAACTTTTGCTAGGTAAGTTGGGGCACGCTTTCCTTTTATATTTTTAAAGCTTACCTTCCTGTTAGGCTACTGATCTACACTATACGGCACCTCTAACAGTTTTGCCAAAGCATTATCAGAGATCTGCTACTGTACATTTTTAATTTATTTTTTATTATTGAAATTTCAGAAATGAAACCTACATATGTGAAATCTAAGTAGATTCCTTGCTATTTAGTAATATCACCCTATCATTATTGAGGCAATGGTTTATTTATTTATTTGGTTTAGGCATCACCCGACTCCAAACTGACTCTAGGCAGCTCACCATATATAACAAGCAGGATAAAAATATAATATAAATAAAGAACAAGATGGCAAATCCAGCCGACAACACACAGACATATACAAACACATCCAGCAAGGGGCTCTAACCCCTTAACCCAGGGCCTGGGAGAACAGTCAAGATCTTCCAGAATGCCATCAGAGTGGGAGCCACCCAGGTCTCAGAGGAACCTCATTCCAGAGGGCAGGTGCCAGGACAGAGAAGGCACATTTCCTGGATCCCAATAGATGACACTGCTTAATTGAAGAAATCTGGGTCATGCCGACCCTGTCGGCTTCATATAAAGCCTGTCCTTTCATTACTGTTATTTTGGAACAGTAATGATTATATGACTTTAAAAGATATTCTTAGTCACTAGTAGGGATCCTGCTGCTGAGTTAATAATGAAAATCAAAGGGTATTGAAAATTCTACCTTTGTTTTACTGACCTATTATTTTATATGTTGTACTTTTTTTGTTGAAGTTATCTCATGCCATAAGAAATTCTTAACGCTGTCATTCTAAATAGCAATAATAATTTAGTTATTTATGTATTCATCATATCTGCATAAAATAATTAAAAATTTAAGCTTAAAAAGCCAATTATCTAGAAATATTATCGTACAACTAATAATCACAAAATAACCACTTTATTAATATAATGCAACTCAGTTAAAATCAGTACAGATTTTATGGGTCTTTAATGTCCTCATAAGGACATTACTGATGGGATTAACTGTATATTCCCTGAAGAAGAGTTTTATAAAGAAATGATTGTCACAGAAAAACGCTTGCCTATGTCAGCGAACTCTGTCTTAATAGAAAATTTGCCCTGATAAGGTTCTTCAAATAATTCATCCCAAATAGGGATGTATTCTTAAAATAGAATACATCAGATTTTAATCATGTTAATGAAGTGTACATATATTTTTAAAAGCATTGATGGGGAAGCACATCCTTTTAAAACAGCTGGAAGAGAATTACACATCTAAGAAGGATAAGTATATCATTTCTAATACAATAAGAGCAATGTGAAGGAAAACTATTTTCAAATATTGATATAATGCATATACAGGTAGAGTGTATCTTCTGATCCTTAAGCACTGATACTACTCAGTTTGAAGGTTTACTGAAGTGATACATGTGTGCTCAGGAATAGAAATGCAAAAGGAAAAGTGACAGTTGTAAGTCATCCTGAGAAAACCTGATTTTGAAGGGTGTGATATGTATTGTTTTAAAAATAAAAATGAGCCACTACTATGTCAATCTTTGTTTTTTAAGTCCCAGAAGTTGTCTTCCCCTGCAAGAGTCATCTATCTATCTATCTATCTATCTATCTATCTATCTATCTATCTATCTATCTATCTATCTATCTATCTATCTATCTATCTATCTTTAGCTCATTCTCAGGAGGTTCAGAATTTATTTCATTTTTTTTTTGTTTTATTGCTGCAAGCTGCTAGAGGGCATTGTTTCTTAGTTGTGGATTTTTTTAAAAAACATTTTTTGTATTTCTTCATTACATTTTTGTGCTACATATATTCCCAACATTCTGTAACTTACATGGCTATCCATGCTTTCTGCTGTGAAAAAAGAAAGGAGTCCCCTCTTGATATGTTTCCTTTAGATCGAAGTGTGGGAACTCAGGGAGGCTACAGACTGGAAGAGAAATTACTGTAAAATTACTGAAACAACCCTGAGCCACTTTATTACTAAGATAAATACAAAAATCAGGCCACATGAAAAATTGGCTGAAATTTTATTCTCCTTAGAGATGCAATCAAAAGTAATTTGTTTCTATCAGATTGAGAAGAGTTGAAATACAACAGTAATACAGGAGGACAAAGAACCATTTTGACTAGCAACTTTGGGTAGAAATATGAGTCAGGGTAAGCAGCAGTTCTTTCACAATGGTGTCAAGCTAGTATTGTTTTGATTGATCAATACCTTCCCCTACCTATTATTGATTGACCAATGACTTCTCTTACCTATTATCTTTCTAATATGTTGGTAATGCATCCCCCAGAGTTCTGAACTATATTTACTTGGAAGTAAGACTTACAGAATTTAGTAAGGTTTACTTTCAGATAATTTGTTAAAGTTGGTTTGCTCTTGATTTGGAGAATATTAACTATGTGGTAGAAGTACTTAATGCATTCCCCAAATCAACAATCTGCTTTGTTAATTTTTGCAAAGTACGAAAAGGAGAGGAAAACGACAGCTGTTTGCACATCCTACAATCGTATCAATTAGAAATCATATTAGACGTGTAATAAGAGGAAGCACAATTCATTTGTACTTTCCTTCCTGCTATTTTCTTAAACCATCTAAATAGAACTTATTGTTTACTTTCTTAAAACAATTTTAGTCTCAGAAAAATAAGCAAATTTATTGAGTTCCTGAATTTGTAATTGCTTATGTAAACATAACTTTCTTGAAGCTCCTTCCTAATTTTCTGTTTCTCTGCAATAATCGTGCAAAGATTATTTTGTCTTCTGTTGCAAAATGGTTGCTCCCTCTGCTGACATGAATTATTTAGTGCAGGCAAATTATCAACTTGAGAAAACTAAGCTGTATTAAAAAACAAAAACAAAAAAACTGCTTGCTGCAATGCAGCAGAGGTGACCTTATATGTTACCCTGTGACCTTGCTCATGCTCAGATATGTTCAGAACAAGGAAAGTCCAATCCACCCTATACATACTCTGCTATACATCCTGTACACACCTTACAATAATGCAGCTGTTAGGACTACCACCAGAGATGCAACACTAATAATACAAGTGTCTTGTGTATAATATTATGGGCACTCTTACCTGGGAGTAAATCTAATTACACTGAATAGGAAGTTCTTCTGAGTAGATATACATAGCATTACCCTGTTACATAGATTTTCAGTGACTGAGAACCACTGCAATAGTTTTATACATCATTAACCCTTACAAATATGCATTCAACAGCATCTTCAATGAATATATCTTAGATTTCAATTATATATAATACATATTTTTTTTTTCTGATCTGGAAATTTGGTAGCATTGATAGTCCCTTTACTAAAATTTGGGAAAAGTTGGAATTGTGTCTCAATTTTGAAAAGCCACAATCTTTGTTCAGATCTCTATTATCAATGCTATATATTTCCTGTATATAACACGGCATAAAGTTAGTTGCACAGGAACTGATTTCACTGGTTTAAATGTGTATGATACTATATTTGAATTGTGATGGTCTTAGAAAGTACATAGTCATGTGGAAAAGTAAATAAACCCCACTGAAAATTTTGACAGTTTCAACATAATTCAACATACAGATATTTGGTCTTCATTTCAACAATATTGATGGATAAAGGGGATATAATACAACAAATAGCATGTACCATTTACATTTTGTAGTCCATTGTGTAATTGAAATAAACATAAATGCAAATTTTGCATGTGGAAAAAGTAAATACAGTCTACATTTATCACTACCTCAAATACCTAAAATTAGAATCGGGCACCAGATCAGGTGCCAATGATTAGAACATTGTTAGAAAGGATCTGGGAGAAACCTGTCTTATTGAAACCTCAGACATTTAGTTTGATGTGCTCTTTACTGTTGATGTGTGTGGCATCATCATGCTCTCTGAGGCCTTCAGAAAGTAAGTTACAGATGCCTATGAGTCTGGGGAGGGATTTAGAAAGATCGCCAAACAGTTGGACATCAATCATTCCACTGTTGGGAAGATCATCTATGAGCAGAGAAGATTTCAAATAACTGCCAACTTGCCCAGGCCAGGCTGTCCCAGCAAGTTCAGCCTAACAGCAGAAGGCAAGGTGCTGAAAGAAGTCTCTAAGAACCCCAAAATTTCATCACTCATCATGAGTCTACCATTAGAAAGAAGCAGCAATATTAGATCTACATGGGTGGTGTGCCAGGAGGAAACTTTTGCTGTCCTGAAAGAACATCAGGGCAAGACTAAAGTTTGCTCATGAACACCTAGGCAAAGATCGGGGTTTCTGGAATAATGTGCTCTGGACAGATGAGGCAAAGATAGAGTTATTTGGCCACAGTAGCAGAAGACATGTTTGGTGAAAACCAAAGAAAGCATTTCAACAGAAGAATCTGACACCAACAGTATAGCATGGTGGTGGAAATGTTATGGTTTAGAGCTGTTTTGCTGTATCAGGGCCTGAGCAGCTCACCATCATACAATCCACTATGAATTCTCCATTGTACCAGAGGGTGCTTGAGGTTAATGTGAAAATATCTGTCAGAAAATTGAAACTCAACCAAAAGTGGACCTTGCAATATGACAATGACCCTAAACATTTCAGTAAATCCACCAAGGAATGGATGAAAAAGAAAAGAAAAGAAAAGAAATGGAGGGTTCTGGAGTTAAAACCTGGGTCTAAATCCCATTGAGATGCTATGCAAGAAATCCCTCAAACACTGCACAGAGAAAAAAATTCTGCATGGAGCAGTGGGAAAAAATTCCTCTCAGTCGATGTCAGAGACTGGTAGACAGTTCTAAGAAACACCTTCTTGAGTTTGTTTCTGCCAAAGGGGGCAATACCAGATATTAGAGCCAAGGGTGCACTTACTTTTTCCACAGAAGGAAATGGCATATCTTAGTTTTCTGTTGAATAAATGATTGCAAAGTCAATTTTTCATAGTTTTTTTGTTCAGTTACTTCACCTTTATCTTTATATACTGTTTGAAGATAAAATATTGATATATACACATATGTTTTAAAAAAAAACTTTACATGAGGTGTACTTATTTTTCACATGACTGCAGTTAGAATAGAAATAAAAATATGCTCCTTAGTAAGTAAGAAGCAGCTATTTATATATGTGGACTATTCCATGAGACATACAGTATCAAATACAAAAACATTTACAATTTTTAAAAATTACTTAATCCCGAAGTAAATATAGAATACGTTAAAAAAAAAAAAAAAGAACTGTGGAAGGATACCATACAACTATTCTCCCCTCTGCTGGTAGTTCTGAGATATAACATCAAAAATTATTTGTACATCTTTTTGTGAAAAAGCTTGAGCATTGCAATAGCAATTACAAGTAAGATTATGAAAATGGGCATATAAATATCTGACTTCCCAACAATGACATAGCAGTTTTCTAGTTCTGTACTTCTTACATTTATAGTTACTCCTAGTAATTTTTAATTTGTAGTTTTGCCCATTTCATTAAAAAAGGTTAGATGTACCAAGTTAGGATATACTGTACTTTTAATAGTTTCATTGATCACAGCATTTTTGTAATTGCAACATTTCGTGTTGTGTAGTACAATGACTTAGGCTGAATCTGCTGAAATTCTCTCTTGTATAGTATACAATTATTAAAATACAGGAGCCTTACCACTTGAAAATTGATCACGTTGCTTTAAAAAAAACAGATGGAGAGAGCATGTGCTTATTATGTTTTTATAAGGGTTCAACTGTGCTGATTTAAACACTTTACTTTGTCTTATTGCACCTGCTATTTTTTAGTTTTTTATTAATTTTTATGCAAAGAAACAAGCTACATACAGTAAATGGATTTATTTTTGTTGTAATAATTTTATTAAAATTATATTATATAGATATAATACAAACTATAAAAGATAAAAAAGAAAAAAGGAAAAGATAAAAAGTGCAGAAAAAAAAAGAAAACTAAAAAATGAAGTAATTTCCCTGTCCGTCCCAGCAAGTATAAACAATTTTAACAACTTATCACCATTTCTTGAAGTACAACAAACAACCTTTTCAACCCATATCTCACCTCATTCTCTATAAACAAATCTTTAAAGCCTCCTCATCCATCCTAATCAGCGAAAGTCCATTTAGGGTTGCTAGAAATAACCACACATCTGTTATAGACTTAATCTAATAAACCCACTTGAATTCTTTCCTTTTACATTTATATCTGATATATTTATATCAGGCCTGGGGATCTTTGGGAACCAGAGACATTCTTAGATGGCTCCACTATGATTAATATTCTCTTTCGCAGTGGGGTTTGTATATTTTAAAATTTAAAATGTTTAAACTTTTTGATGATGTATTTTAATAATCACTTTTTAATCTTTTATAATATTGTTTTTATCTATTTGTTATTTTATTTAATTGTTGTACGCTGCCCAGAGTCACTTTGTGTGAGATGGGTGGCTATATAAATGTGATAAATAAATAAATAATCTCATTTTATATTTTAAAAAAAATCCCTTAAACCTCATCATTCAAGTACAATCAGTAAAAATCCAGTAAAAGTTACCAGAGATAACAACTATTTTAACCTTAATCAGATAAGTTTGAAATGTAACTAAACAACCTGTGACCCACTGGGTCATTATTTCAGAGATATTCCCTCATCTAAAAAGAGAAAAAGAATGACCAAGGACCAAAAAGCAGTGGGAGTGGGAGCGACTTACAACTTGCTGCTGGCTTCCCCATTGACTTTGCTAGTGGGAAGCTGTCAGAAGTCTCCCTCCCTCCCTCCCTCCCTCCCTCCCTCCCT